CAATTCAAGTAAGGAAACGCTTTGTTCTTGTTGACAAACGCCTTAATGAGTGAGTACTTCGGACACATGTTGCTATCTTACAGTTTTACAATTAAACGTTTTTATGAGAAAAAATCCCTGTCAATTAAGAGACAGTGAACGTATTTGCTGTATGCTTTTACATGATTCATTGGCTGGTATCTTAAATATTTTTTTTTTCTGTTAATAAAGTCTGTTTTAATTCCATCTGATTTCGATCGTTTTAAATAAGCTATTCAATTTTTTAATTTAAATGGGTAAACAGCTTTTAATATAAATAGTACGACATATTATAGAATATCGTCAGATTTGGTATATTCAATGTTTATTGCTATATAAATATATGCCTGTTACTTTTATTTATATTGAATATGAACGAAATATTTGTGAGAAATCAACATTACAACAATACTGTACATAGAAATTTCTTCTAAAACAATTCCCTGGTATATTGTATGTATGTCATACTGCACTTTACATTACTGCATTATTTAAATAACCGACCAGATTCAACGCTGATTTTATAAAACTGTCAAAGACCATGCTGTACGTAAACGGTGTCTATTCATAGGGATAATATAATTACAATACTAAACATTAATCCATTAATTTTCACTGTGTCGAGTACACAGTGTCGACCAACTTCCAAGAGATTTTGGCCTACCTTACTACAGTATACACCGTAGCTTTCACATCACAGGCAATTTCATATTCCACAAACACTGCTTTCGCGACTCCGTTTCAGTTTCATTTTTTTTTATTGGCGCTCACCTTTTCAACAGTGGCACACACTATACTTGGTGCGTCCAAAATTAAATAACAATAAAAGTGAACAAAAAATAAAATAGGTAACGAAAAGTTAAACACATACATCAGGGATTGCTTTATACTGTTATTTTTAGCCATTCCTACCCTCTTAGCGTTATAGGTTTAGTGTCAGTGGTAATAACAAATTTATCAACAAATTTTATAACTCACCACTCACCTACTGCATAAGGTGAGCTCTTATCTTTTTTCTTATTATTATTATATATTTCCCTATATGTTCGTTTATATCTTTCTCTCAGGCTTCTTACCGTCTCTCCTATATTATATAGCCCCACGTTGCTTCCTTTACATCCAATACATTGTATTTTATATACCACTTCTCTTTGTTTTAAAAATAAGCCTTGCCTCCTTCTTTACATATGGAGCATTTGTCTCCCACACATCTATTTTACAAGTCTGCATGCATATTCATGTATATCAGTTAACCGAACTGACCTAGAATAGCGCCCTCTGTAATTTCTGCCTTAAGTGTATGGGGAGAAAATAATGCGCGCGCCGCCTAGCGCTCACAGGGAGCGGAGTTGGATTCGTGGTACGACGCAGTGAGTGCCCGGCTTTATTCAATAGATAAGTGTCTCCTTTATTTAATTGATTACTGTATACAATCAAGGAATTAAATCATGAACATTAATTTGCCATCTGATGCTTGGTTTGTCAACATTCTACTGTATAGACCATTTATTGGATTTATTTTGAAACAGCGCCGATCTAGCAAAGCTTTATATCTATATCAGTAGTCATTACTCAGGCTTAGTACAGATGTCATATATTATCTAGAAGTCTTGAAATGGGGGGTGGGGGTGCGCT